GGGGTAATGTTGGTAAAATTATATGAGATCAAGTCAAGCAACCACACTCAAAATTTGCCTCCTGTGCCATGCAACTCAAAACAGAATAATAAAGCCTGACATACAATCTGTCTTTCACTGTAACATATTTAAGGAAAATTGGGAAATTCAATAAGCTTGCAAGATAGTGCTGCATATTTGCGCCACATTTCTAGCCAGCCAGATCAAAGCCTGAGTCAGACCTTCAGACAAATGGGCTCCTTGCTGCCTGCTAAGCAGCAGCACAAAACACTGTCCCAACTAAAACACTGGAGCTGAATGGTGTAAATAAACCTTTATCTTTGAGGGGCCAATAACTATTTCCCCATTTGTGTGGCCCTCTCCGATCAATATCAGCTCGAGTGCACTCAGTCCTAAGAATAACCCGCATTAGTCATTGTTTTAGATAGCAGGACAACGACTCCAGTCACAACGACCTTTTCAGTGACACATGCTCCGACAAGCCACAGACGGAGCCCTCTCAGGGGCCGCTGTTTGTTATCAGCCAGTCTGAAACTAAACGGAGCCATCAGGCAGCACAGCACTTCACTAGAGTCAACATTCTGGATGAGCAGACATTCAGGATGGGTCATTTCCGATTTGTCAGCTGCATGGGTACATCACTCATGAATCATGCTAGTAAATCTAGCAACAGAACTATCATTACCACTAAATATCCCCCTTGTTCTCATGCACACTAACAGTCAAACACAACAATGTGACGTGGCAGTCTCACCTGTCCTGTGTGCCAACAGAGCCCTGTTTGTCATTCTTGCTACAGAAGTCTGGGGAGCTCTGCAGGTAGACAAGCTCGTTCTCCCTCACCGGCCTGATGTCAATGTCTTTGGGTACCAGCTGCTTGCGTGTCCCTGTGGGCCGGTGAACCACTTTGGTGGCAGACAGGTACTTTGTCTTCAGGTCCATGGCAATCTCCCTCAGGTCTTGCAGGCCTCTCCAGCAGGTCCTTATAGAGCAGGAGCCGGACACACCATGACATTTACACTTCATCACCAGCGCCTCTTTCAATACCTGGACAAGATGACAGAGGGGGGTTAGATAGTGCTCACTCTTTGTGGGATACAGATAAGATACAGTACAAGCCAGGAATACAAATGTACACAAATGTAATACATTTACAATTTAAACTGTTAAAAAGCGTAAGAAATAACAGTTAAAATATGGCCATATTGCTTACTTGTCTCCCGACTTCACTGTTGTGTAGGTGCATCAGTTTGTTGGCATGGGAACCCGCACGCTTCATCTTCATGGGAGCGTCAGAAAACTTTGTGCCCATCATCAAACCGTAATGCAGGTTGTCAGCGCAGCCACCCCAGCGATAGCCGGGCTCTAGGATCTCCGCAGGAATAGGACCACACGAGCAGATCCGCAAATCTCCAGAAGTGCACGCCCGTGCTATGGTGTGGCTGATGGTTGCTGCGGACAAGGCGTAGACAAATGCTGCCTCTCTCGTTCCTGTCAGATAAGATAAGAACATATAGGAAACCCAAATGATATTGGTAAAAAGGAAGACAAAACAAAAAGGTTTTTTAGGCCGAGGCAAACTGACAATGCAAACACCAAAGCCATTCAATGACCTTTTTCTCTAGCGGTAAGTGAGTTTATTAGGGCTGTAACCAGACATTATTTTAATTATCAGTCCTTTTCTCGACTAATCAAGTAATCTTTTGGTCTCCTAAATGTCAGAATATTGTGAATGTTCCTGTCACAATTTCCTGAAGCTTAAGGTGATGTTGTCAGACCAACAGTGTAACTCAGGTTTCCTAACACACAAGACAAAGAACTAGTTGATGTTTGGCCTTTTTGCTTAAAAAATTCATTGACTAATCATTCAGCTCTAGCAGTTATTAGCAGAAATTTAAAATATGATATAATATTTACGAAATATACTACCAGTTCAGTGTGAGTATTTTGTCTGATTTTGTTTAAGTTTAGTGACATTGGTCTGTTTCTGATATATTGGATGTCTGCATTCTACATTCTGGTTGTCAGAAGCTGCGAGATTAGACATACTTTTAAGACAGGCAGACTGGCCTATCATTTGCCATAATGTATGTCAAAGTGTAAGTGAAGCATGTAGCGGTCAGCTTGATTGATGTTTGGTTTACTACATGGAATTCCAATAATGACAAGTTATATAACAGCAAGTTTAAAAAACGAACCAAAACATCTATAGAAAAGCCTTAAACCACTTCTGCTGTATAATCAACTTCTCCGCTATCCATATGTCCTATTTCTCTGTCAGCTTTCTACTGTCTCAGTGAAAAAACTGAACGTAAGTGCACAAAATGAAACTATCAAACACAGTCCATCACTGCTCCGGCTGTAATGCAGAGTGAGCACTGATGTGATTGGGGCTGATGTGCATACACAGAAAGCACATATGTTGAAGGCCGGGGAGCAATTGGAAGTAAGGGAAGAAATCATGTATGACCGTGGGCTGGTTAGATCAAAGCCATCCCTGGACAGAGATGAGCCATTTCCTGTTCAGAGCAGACTGTTCATTTGGCAAATGGCAGCCATGTCCTTTCTGGGGAACGTTGCACACAGTACTCCCCCACCCACAACCCAGCCACTGTCTCTGGTTGACTCAAGGTCCTTTTGGCAATACAAACAGCTCAGTCAGACTGCAACGCAAGTCAGATAATGCTGTGGATTTTGGAAATAACATAATAATAATAAGCCAGTTATTTTATCATACAGAATGTATACATGTTGTGGAGGTGGTGGTGAAAGCTCCTCAGGAATGAATAGTGGAATAATTTGGCTGGCAGCAAAAAAAAGTGGAAAGATGAGCCAACATATCATTTTAAAACTAGAAATCACTTTTGAAAAGGACATAATTCTGTATTAGAGTTCTCTCGATAGCCGTCATGTTCATACATACAGACAAATCTACTGTGGCGTCTGAGCACAGACACCATTAAAATGCTGAGGATCATTTCACCAGTTACTATAAACTGAACTGCAATACATGCCGCACTTAATGACCCTGGTTTGAGATATTTATTGAAGGTCAAGCGTGACCATAAACATCAGACTCTTGTGGGTAAAAAAATAAAAAGTTGGAGCTGCTCTTTGGAAACAACGCTGTCATTCCAAAATGTTTATAACCATACCTCGGTCGAGGTCTGGCCGATACTTCGGGGCATCAACTGGGATGTCAATGGAGGAGCAGTTCCAGCGCATATCAGAAAAGGTCTTCTGGCATGTTTTCTTGACTTCGCGGGCAGCTTGGATAATGGTTTGCATGAGCTCCAGGTTGCTGCGGCACAGCTGAGCTTGGGAGGACACCATGCCGGGCAGCAGCTTACAGTGTTGGGTATGGTTGATGTGTAAAGATGCAGGAGTGTGTGATAGCGCTCTGTAAACACAGACAAGAGGTATTGCTCAGTATGCAGTCAACAAAATAAATTCTCTTAATTGTGGTGGTGATGACAACAATGTGACGATTGCCTAATTACATTTTTTGTTTTATGAGTTGTGAAATTATCACGTTTATGGCAATAACAACGCATGCTGGGAGTTTTAGTTACAGTGGTGTGTTAGCGATTTGAGGTTCTTGTGTACACACATTTCAAGCCTCTGAGACAGATCAGCTTTGAACAAACAATTGAAAAATCCAAACAGATAATGCTTCAGGCAGGGAAATATTTTGGCACGCATTGCAGAAAAGAACTATCTTATCACACGAAAATCCCAAAGGAGAGTCAGCTGCAGATTCATAAAATATAAGTGACACGTTCTTGGCACGGGGATTTTCTTTTGTTAAAGCAAAGAAGAGGCCAAAAAATATAAAAACCCCAGTAAATTCTGATCCACAGTCAGATGAAAAGCGACATAGATCCCTCACAATTTGCATTTTCCACCACAGGAAGCGTCATCCTCTGTGGCCTCAGTTTGACATGAGTCATCTGTTTAGAGGCTATTAAAAGGTGCACACATTTGAGTTAAACAGTTTAAATTTATTGAGGATTAACTTAATAGAGAAACCACAGGCGGAGCAGGTTAGGTCTGATCTCTGCTTAATGTGTCTTGCACTCTGCTGAGAGTTCGTGAGAACCAGGCAGCACCTTGGCCTGTTTTGCATTAGGGGCCATGGGGCCGCCACTCTGTGCCCAATGATAAGCTGTGACTCCAGTGGGCTCGTGGTAACCCGGCACTCGCAGGTGTTTACAGCCGCATCTGTTCTGCATTGCACCGCTGTGCATTATCAAGACTTCTCGCTTAGATTTAGCAGATGCCATCCCAGCCCTGATGGGCACATCTGCTTATGTCTTCCCACTGTGAGCATTACCACCGCTCACTCTGATAAGAAGCCATGGATATTTTTGGTAAAGCCAAAGCGAAAGCTGTGTTTTCACAGTGATCAGACATAAGGCGCAGGGATAAAACTCAGATAAAGAAACACAGAACAGAACATGCAAATTGTGGGGAAAACCTCACAGGGTTTATAAGAATACCAAACCAAACCATCCAAAACATTCAATTGAAACATAAATAAATTCAAAAAATAGCAACTTGAGCATTTTATGGACTTTCCAAAATTATTGCGAAAATTATTGTTTACTTTTACAGTACCATAAAAACAGTGTGGTGCTCAGTGCGAGCAATCAACATTTATAGCATCAGTTTCCTTCTACGATACGCTATTTTACACTGATTGAGGCCTGACTAGACTACACACAGTACGCAGTGACGTCACTGGCACTGTCTGCGCCACCGCGACGCCTCGTCATCTTTATCTTATTTTCTATTCTTATCTTCGTATTATTATACAACAGGGGGGACATTTGATCTGAGATCTTGAAACTAAAGTACTGATGGCGTCTCCTTTTACATTTAAGTTAATCAAACAAAGAGGTTTCCATTCATAACCTGAAGAGCTGCCAGCTAATCTACTGTCCCCTTCATCAGATACACATGTACCAGAACATTCCGCCTCTCCCCTGATCAGGAGCAACTCAAGGAATGTTGGGGCCCATTTCTAAGCTGCCATGGGCCCTCCACTCCATAAAACACAGAAACATGCAGCAAAGAGCCACACAATACTGTGTAACTTCATGACGTCATCTATTTTGACATTGTTTGAATGTAAAGCAGTGTAGAGATGGTGACAGGCCTACAGAATGAGATGGCGGCACTCCGGAGAATACTTACAGCCATTTGATGCCGGAGCAGACCTGAGACAGCAGCAGAGCCGTGAGCACACCAAGAGGCAGGACATGAGAGCTGCTCCTCATGGTTGGACCGTGGCTCCAGTTCACACAGGACACAAATACAAAGGGCTGTTGGGCTTCTTGGCTTAGACTCAAAAGTCAACTCTCATGGCAGGGCTCCTCCTTATTTATAACCCTGTAATAAATAATGTAAATATTATCAAGGACTTGGCCATGCCACAGTTGTAACATTTTAGGTATTTTATCGTAGAAGCATACTGTGAAAGTCTTTGTGCGAGCTCTGAAACCTTAAAATGTAAAAAACTGATCAAATCTAATAAGAGTAAAATCTGATAAAGCAATGAAAGAATAACCTGCTACAGGAATATTATTTTACTTCTGTCAGCAATCTCAAGTATCATGCACACAGAAAAGAATGGAAATGAGCAGAATTGTGCTTTGCAAGAAATCCTTTCTAGACACCAGTTCACTAACACTGCTGAAAGCGTTCAAGCACACAAAGAGACATAAAGACATTTCATTGTGCTTCAGCTTCTTCCTACATGCAAATAAACGAAACAGCATATGTAATTGCAATGAACTTTAAAACAAAGAAATCTTATTATGTACATTTTCATAAAGTACTACTAAACTAGTGCTGTATTTTCTTTGCTTGTCCACCACCTATGGTATTTTTGTAATATACAACAATAGAGAGATGAGAGGTAGCTGGCTGTTGTAGGCCTATTGAGGATCTCACTGTTTGATGGGATTAAAATGGACGATTTAGGTTGGCATTCAAACAACGAGGGCCTATTTCCTGGGATTACCGAGCTCTTTGGTTTGTTTTACTCTCTGTAATTCAGTTTGGTGTCAGCTCCGCTTCACCACTAAAAATGTGAAGACTTGTGAGTGGAGACGGTAGCGGGCCGCCAGCTCAGATGAGCGCAGTAATGTGCGGCGAGCGGCCGGCGCAGCGCATCGGGAGCGTTATCTGAAGCGCTCCGAGCTGGCGATAACACATCTCTTTGAAGAGAGCTTAAAGTGGGCGCGTTAAAACAGCAGGTAGCTGATAATGGGCCTTATTAAAGCGGCAGATCCTGCTCGTCGCTCATTGGCCCAGAGGCGTTCGAAACTGAGTGAAATCACTGATATTAATTATTTAAATGAGCCAACTGAAACCGGTGTGTGTTGACCTACTGCTTTTCAAACCCTACCTGTAGGCTCAATAATAAAACATGTAGCCTGCCATACAGTGCTGCAGATGAATGATCGGGTATTTCCTGAGCAGTCGCAGTCTCTGTCGGCCGTTTGGCGTCAAATCTGTTTTAAGAAGTCGCGGCCTGACGTGGATTAACTGTTTAAATTTACATTTGGCCAAAGTGGGCTAAAAAGCAGCTTCTGTTTCCCCCGGGAGATAAGGGCTGATAGCCCGCTGTGTCCCTCATCGAGCCCAGATAAGCAGGGCAGGGCAGTGGGCTATTAATCACATTTCCTAGCGATCAGAGGGAAGGGTGAGGGTCTTTTATTCACTAATAATGCTGTTTGCCAGTCTGCCTGTGGAGACTTCATGAGGAGAGATTCTACACATTACTCTACCGACAAAGGTCTTAAGAGGCAGGATGCACTTCTTTTACATTTAATTAAAGTACAATAAATCTTCCAAAACAGCGGAATAACGGCTGGTAAATACAATTTCCCCCAGTTTAAACCAATCTGTGTCACAATACTAAAGCCACTTTTTCAGAAGATGCCTCCGCTACAGACAAAGTGGCGACAAACAAAGCATTCAACTTTATATTCACTCAGTAAACCCAGACGTTAGAGCTATCCTCTGCGCACAAAGACTCTCACCAGCTGCGGCACACACAACTACTTCTCCTCCAGCTCACCTTTGCGGCGCTCAGCTCTCACTGTTCAACAAAACAACACAAGGAAGAAAAATCTTCTAAAGTCCGCAGGTCGGAGTATCCTTTCACAGTCTGTCCGAGTCGGTATCAGCCGGACGCAGCAGTAAAATCCAGCATGGGGTGGTAGAATAGCTCCGGACAGGTACGCATGGTGTGTATCAGAGCGGTGTCGGTGAGTGTGTGTGTGAGTGGGACAGAGAGAGGTTGGAGTGAGTGAGCCTGAGTGGGGGCAGACTCTGCTCTAAAGTACCCCTGCCCTGCTTTGATCTCACTGCTGATGTCAGACCAGCATTAGCATAAGAAAGAAAAGCACGCTGCACCGGGACCGGAGCAGGGCTGCAGTGTAGGTAGTTGACTGATAGAGTGAAAATACTGTGGAACAGTCCCATAATATTCCCACTGGGAGGTGAAGTGAGTTATAGTGTGTCTGTGATGATGAATAGTCGATATAGTGACCTTATTTTAATGGCATTTTTATAGCTGCTCTGGTATCATACTCCCATAAAAAGTTGTCAAAGGACACTTAGTGACCTTATCAGTACCCTTAGTAGTAGACAATATTTCCATTTCCATATATGTGTTATATTGCTATAAAATGTTAGATTAAATATTTTAAAGCTGATACAAAAATGTAATAGTGTGTCTTAAAATAACTTTTTGTATTAGAGTAATAGTTCTTGTGCTATTATAGTTTTTCTATTATAGTATCTGTAGTTTTCTATAAAAATAGTTGCCTGTCTTTTTACACGGTGCACTGCTAAAGCAGTAATAATTATTTGGTATAGAATAATTAAGGTCTGTATCAGTTTTAACATTACAATAATGGCTGTAAATGAAGTAACAAAGGTGGTAAAGGGCCACATTGAGAAATTAATGTATTATGGGATTTTATATTTAATTCACGAGATATATAAAGATACACAGACACATACCTAGCGTTTTGGTCCAAATGAATGGAAAAAGTGCCATTATTGTTCCAAACCCTGAAATTAAAAAAAGGACATGTTCTGTACCCGTTGATTCCAAATGTACAGCCCTGTGGAAAAAATATGGAATAATTGAATCATTTTATTACAGTCACTGAAAATGTCCATGTCTCATGCTTATTATCCAAATCCATTTAGAAACAATGTTTTACATTCAAACAATTTTCAAATGTTTCTTTTGTGCTCTCGAACCAACAAAACTAGAACTACAACCAAAATTCAACAACCACTCGGCTGTGGGATAACACAGTCCCTTGTATTTAAATGTAAATTATTCTTTGAATTCACAACAACACTAAAAACTTACTTTATTAATTCATGTGGATACTATATAATTGTTCAAATTTACTGTAATGCAGTTTGACATGATATAGATGTACACACATGCACACGAATGCCCTCCAGCACATGTTCTTGAAAATGTTTCAAATAAAACCTTCCTAAAGTTACACAAAGTTTTCCTGCACGGGCTGATTTCTTAAATATTAACCGCACTGTAAGTGATACGCTGCAGAGCCAGCTGTGGGAAAGTACTCTATAGTTTCCCTGAGAATCCGCTGCACCTCCAGCACTCACACAAAGGCAATAGTGAGCTGTTGTCCAGACCTTGACCTTGCGACTGGTATAGCTAACATGGCTGGCCTGGTGCTCCGGCGGGAACAGCAGATCAGGTGTTGTCATGCTGTCTCTGGAGCAGACACATTTACAGACTACAACAAGCCCTCTTCCTTTGGGAACACCCGGATCTTGTGTCTAAAACTGTTGGCCAAACAGGGTCCACAGCAACCCTTTCCACACGGTGTGACAGCCCCATACGTATGTATCTTATTTACAGTGGGGCTGTGATGCTGCTTCCAGAGAGACTCAGTGTGTTTTACATGGCAGTCAACTGTGAATGGGCACAAGGTCGGAGTGTGTGTGGGAGTTGTGGAGCTTCCAGCAGGACCGGGCCCGTCTACAGAGAGACTTTTTACACTCAGGCTCTCCATTCCTGAGCTAGGATCAACACGCAGCCCTTTGATCTTCACATCTCACCCGCCAAGCAACACAGAGGGGGAAGACACCTTCTGAGGGAAACAGAGGGGGATAAGCAAGTCGCTGGAGTTCATGATAATGAAATAACTCATGTCACATAGCAGCGGAATCAGAGATGAGTTATGATAGATAGTCCACATCTACGATGAAAACCAGCTTTATGGAGATAATGTTACTTACATTGTGCTTTTTAGCTGTCACAGTAATCAGCTTTTGACATGGTGGGATTACTGGTGAAAAAGCTACAATGTGCCTATGAAAATATGTCCCATTATATTTACTGTAAAAAAAACCTTCCAAGTTTCCAGTACTCGCATTTATTTGATTTTTTTTTTTTTACAACACGCTATTGTTTAATCCAGATGTGGTTTGAGCCTGAGCTGGAAGTTTATTTTCGAATCGGTAAATTAGATGAATCCCTTTAGATTACGGAATATCTTAACCCCAAATGAAATATTTCAAGAACCCAAAATGTAAATGCACATAAACAAAAACCTGCATGTGCAAACTGTATATAACAATTCTTCTGTTGTAGAAACGTTGTCACGGTTTAAAAGAAAAATATGCAATTTCTAAATTGACCAAATGAAGAAAAGAGTCGGCTCAGCTCTGGCTGAATACAGCGTTAATGTTTGGGAGGAATAAATAATACGGCTTCTACAGCATTGAACCATTGTCCTTAAAATCTCAAGAGAACCGAGGCAATATCACAAATCTGGAGGCTCACCGGGGGGGAAGTAAGGACACTCAACTTTCACCCAGGAGGATCAGAGCCTGAATGGGTGCAGAGTTACTATTATGCCCCTGGAAAATACTCCCATGATCCCGCCAGGATAAAACCAAACTAGGCTCCAGTGAACAAATGTATCTGTAACTTAGCTGGCAAAAAGAAAACTTTATTGTTAATTTGACTTTTTCTTTCCTTGCTGTTATAAATGTTTCAATATGATTTAAAAGGGAGAAAAACAATAAACTAGATGTTCTCAACTTAGTTCAGTTTTAATGGCAAACCCTTATACTACCATGTTTTTATTTTTACACTTTATGATGTTAATTTTTGATAAAACATAACTGAAATATGCAAGCCACAATGATAAACAAATAAAAGTTCAACTCTCTGAGGTACGTTCATTCCTGCCTGTCCTCCATTACCAATTCAACCTATTTGACCATAAATAATTTTCCAATCAAAATTAAAACCAGGAGTTTGATTAACAGCCATCTTAAATGCAATAAAGCAAGAACTTAAAAGGGAATTCACAAATGGAAACAATCAGTGAACCGTATCCGTAACGGTTAGTTTTCATTTTGCCTCTTATCTTCAACCAAATGCTGCACAGCGTATGGCGCTGCTGCAAGCGGATTATTGACAAATAACAAGAACATTATGTATTATCAACAGTATTCCTAAAGGGTAAAAACTGTCAGACGGACAGTGACAGCTTCGGATCAGCCATGTGCAAATCCCATCATCCTCTGGTGTCCCTCCTGTGAAGGCTGCCGTAGCTCACAGTGGGGATCGCCACAGAAACAACAAGCTTCGTCCAATCTGTCTGACTGGACCCACATCTTTTGTATACCATTTGTTTATAACCTCTGTCTCTATTGTGCTTTGAGGACGGAGCTCTTTCAAGTGACAGATGGGTGGCACTTTTGAACACGTCATGTGGTCCTGAGGAGCCTGCACCATGAGCTGTGTCTTCATGAAGCTTGTGGCAAATGCACTGCCCAGGAGTTTACCAGCACTGGAGGATCATTCCCGAAAAACAACATCACCATGGCTGTTCTGGGTTTGAGCTGAGGGTATAAAAGTTGCCTGCACGATGGGTTAACCAGCCAAGAGAGGAGTGGATTCCAGTAATACAACTAATCAAGCACATTACAGTCCCGTCATATCACCAGAGCATCATAAATCTCACTTAAATGAGTCCATTCACTGCATGAAAACCAGCTCCAACAACCAAACACACTTTAAAGGGAAAATCCACCCTAAAATAGTTTTTTAAATAAATTGTTGTACTCCAGTTATTCTCTTTAACTCAGACTACTGCTACATAAATTGGAAATGAGAAGATCATGAACTGATGATGTCGTACGGAGACATGAACTGGTTGTGTGTTATTGACACAGAATTAATGATTGAATCTGTGGAGAAGCGGAAACTTCTTGTCATCCAAATAAGTTATATTTGAATGTCGAGCAGCACTTACCGCTGTGAATTAGAAGATGTGCCTAATCCACTAAAATGCCTTGGGATTTGTCTTATTATTTACTGTCTATGGAGCAGCTGCAGGATTTGTCTCATGACATCATCACTACAGTCTGTCTTTGCCGTTCATCTGGTCCAAGTCATGTATTAAAACGGAGGTGTACATCACTTCAAAATCAACATGCGTGAATTATATATTTGGGTGTATTTACCCTATAAAAAGAGACATTTCATCAAGCGTCAAGGGACAGCAGCACTGTCTCGCACAGGTCCTTTTTTACACTGTATGAGGCCATATCGCTGCGTCCAAAGAGGTGTTGCTGAGAAGGAGCCAAAGGTGTTGAGAGCAGAGGGGGCTGAAGTGAACCATGTGGGTGGGGTGATGACTTCAGCAGAGTCTGGGGCGCACCCTTCATTTACAGACGTCTCTCCGCTCACACCTCCGGGTAAACACAAAGCCGAAGGGCAGTAGAGGAACGACAAGGACAGGCACCAGCCCGGCTGCAATAGATAAATTGTGCACATAATCTGGATCATATGAGTGCGGAGGCGTGAGAGCACCAGAGCATCTTTAGATGCTCACTTCTTTAAGGATTACAAAATCATTTGAAATTCCAAGCTGCATGCCCATTGCTCTTTGAATATGTTCGAGGACCAAATAATGAATGATTTTGCTCAGGTCTGAAAAGGGTGCTGAGAACTGTTTTGACAAGAGTTGTTTCAGACGATTGAGTAAAGCCTGTGAGCAAGCATAAGATAAATTGTACTCACTGGATCATGATTGGATTATCTCTTATACACCTCAGTATTGGTTAAAAACACTCATCGAAGACAATCCTTCACATTTGACTTACAGTTTAAAATCCTTTAGCTTTACGATGGCAAGTAAAAATTAAGTGTTGTTTAAGAGTACAATCAACAAGTTGACATCGGCTTAATTAAAACCAAACGTTTTGCTGGTAGTAC